CCGGGCCCCCCCCCCCCCCCCGTCGGAGACAGACGAACATTGAAAACAAATCGCCACCGAACAGGCTTGTCGAGCCTGTCAACCCACAGGGCAGATATCGCTATATATGCTGGTCGGGGAACCACTCGAATATAGGTTAGAGTCGTCACGCAACGCTTCCAATCCAGGGCCCATGTACTCTTGTGTTGTGGCAAGGAGCCGGTGGAGTATAAGTAGCGCATCACGCCCCACAACTAATGCAGGCGCTGCATGCGTTTATTGAACCCCTACTAGGTGAGGCCGCTCCGCCGCCTGCCCCGATGCGAGAGCTGAACAAATTCAAATTGAGCATGGATCGCGCGGAGAGTAACATCGCGAAAATGGAGTCGAGCGGAGCTGAGGTCTGTCTGGAACACTGTGAAGTCCGCCGCCCCACCCGTCAACGATGTGCTCGGCACTGCCGGACCGGTAATGTGCACCGGGAACTTCCTCGGCTCCTTGACCATATCCTGCTCCACCGCGTCCAGCCCGCAGTCGGGTCGGCTACGCCCGGGACGAGCGTGGGCACTATTCGTCACTATCCTCGCCACGCCATGTGGAAGTATTACTCGTAGGACAGCTTCCCACGGTCCGACCAGTGGTAGATGATAAGTTCGTGGCGAAGATAGTGACGAAAGCTGCAGCCGCTACTCCCGGGTGTAGCACAACCGACTTGGCGGCGGACTCGCTGAAGCCGAATATGGTCAAGGAGCCGAGGAAGGTGCCGGTGCACATTACCGCTCCGGCAGTCCCGAGCACATCGTTGACGGGTGGGGCGGCGGCCTTCACAGTGTTCCAGACAGACTTCAGCTCCGCTCTTCGCGATTTTCGCGATGTTACTCTCCGCGCGATCCATGCGGCGTTTGAGTTTGTTCAGCTCTCGCATCGTGGCAGGCGGCGGAGCGGCCTCATCGAGTAGGGGTTCGATACTAGCATGAAGCGCCTGCATTTGTTGGGCTGCGAAATGCGCGACTTCATCTGCACCGGCTCCTTGCTCACCTGAGAAAGTACCTAGGCCCTTCTTCCATCCTTTTTTGGGCCGTTTCTAACTCTATTGCGAGTGCCTCTTTGGCCGTCGTCATGTTGCTGAAGACTGCTGTTGAGTTGGGTTGGAGAAAGTTGTGAACGATGTGTGGCGGTGCTGTCGTGAGGAAAAAATGCGGCGGGTTTGTTAGGGAGGTGATTTGAGGTGGGATATTTTTTTT